TCACACGGCCCCAGCGACTGCTGGCCGCGACTGCGACTTGCCGGGGCTCCCCTTGCCGGCCATCTTGCCGGAATATCACCGGAATCCGACCGGAGGGTTGCCAGAAAGTGCCGATCGCCGTGGGATGCTTACCGGATAATTCCAATACATCCGATTTACATAATTATTGCTTTTCATGAAGAACGGACAACCCCACGAATTATAGATAAATTACGGGGTTGAATATATATATATATATATATATATATATATATAATATTAAGGGGTTGGATAAATATATATAAATCGCTTGATTAAATATATATTTGGATTAGACTATAGGCCAAGCCTACTAAACCCAAACATGAATAATACACCCATTCCACTAAAGTAGTATTATTGAATAAACTCCCAATTTAATTCCCGAATTATATTCGAGGCTCCAATAATAATTACTCAATTTATCTCCCCGTGTTTAAGATATAATGTCCATCAATTAATTTAATTGTTGACAATTAAATTAATTGACATCTATAACCGAGACTGGTACCACTCATACCATTATTATTATGTCAGAATAAATTCCACAGGCCAAATTAACATAATAATCCTTCATGAGCTCATCTCGAGGACATCATCAAACCATCGCGGTGGCAGTAAATATTCTAATAGCACTCGTACATACAATAATATTACTAAAATCAGTAAGTATATTTATCAGTAAACTGAATCCCACCCAAGTGAATTTAAGTAATATTTACTGTATACATATGCATGTTTATATCTTATGGGTTAAGAGTATGCAGTAATTAACCGAGACCTAGTTCGTTTATGATGATCAATGTAAAACGAACTTCTTCTCTATGGGATCTGTACAATACATAAAGTGTACTAGTGTAACTAATCGGTCAAGATCAACTGTATGGTTAACACTACAACCATTTGGATGGGGTGTTCATTTCCATCTAGGTTGTGAACCACAATTCTTATTTCGCAAGTAACTAATGGAATGATCTTCTATTCACCCGATGACGACCCATTCTATCTAAGTGCAAAACAATAAAACATAGATTTTTTTAATTAAACACGATTCTCATTCAAACGGGTACCTTTCAGTATATGCGCCAACAGTTATAGGGTCTCATGTTTGGGAAACAAAGGAAACAAAAAACTCTAAAGGAGCTGAAATCAGGTATGTGATTGTCGAGTTATTCTAGAGATGAGATGAAGTTCAAAGATTTTTGAGGCAAATTGTTTAGCATATATATAACAGTTCTAAAGACGTCATCCTAGTATCTAAGGGGCACTTGATAATGAGATAAGATAGAAAGTCCCATTTTCACTATGGTCCTATGTATTCTTTCAGCCAACCCATTCTGGGAAGGTATATAGGGGAAAGAGATTTTGTGTTGAATCCAAGAATCAATGAAAAATTCACTAACAAACATAAATTCTCCTTCTCCATCACTTTCAGAAACATTAATATATGATTGAGTTGATTTTCAAAAGGTTTTTAAAGTGAACAAAGACATTTAAAACACTAGACTTCGTGTGTATGAAATAAATCCAAGTAAACCTTGTGAAGTGATCTATAAAACAAGCATATTAGTGATTTTGAATGTGAAGCAACTGGTGAGGGTTCAAGGAAGACAGAATAAAGGAAGGAAGAAAACAGTATGGACAAGTTGAAAAGGAGCAATATAATGTGAGACTGAATATGAGAAAGTAAGCACATGAGCTTTTTCTTACAAACAAGAACCACAAAAAAGCTTCTCATTAAAAGAATAAGGAACATTATAACTTTCAGAAGTTTGACTACCACATCTAAAGATGCATGTCCAAGTCTAGAGTGCCACAAATGCACACTGGTCGTTTTATTACAAAAAACTAGAAAATTTATTGCACTGAAAGAAGAGTGAATGGATGAAGAATCTGAAATGGTCTTGCCGGAATGATGGATCTAAGCATCAAATATATAAAGTTCATCCTCAACAGAGCCTTCGAGTAGAACTTGCTGAGTTTCCTGATCCTTGATAAGATAGCAGTTAGGGTGAAACTCAAAGAAAATACAATTATCCTTGGTGTTAAGAGACACTAATTATTAGATTTTTTGTGATGACTGGAACATGAAGAAGATTATCTAAGATAAAAGATTTATGATGTATGTTAGATACTTTGATTTATGATGAATTTTCAATATGTGAAGCACAAGAATATACTTCATTACCAATTTGAAATTTGTTGTTTCCATGAACGTCTGAGGCAAGATTGAGGTGGGAGAAGTCACATGTGATATGACTAGTTGCACCTGAGTCTGCAAACCAATTGGATTCAGACCCAACTTCACTTCATTGGCTCAAAAATTGTGTTGTAGCAGTTTGAACCTAATGAGGGACAAAGTTATGAGATACTTGAGTTTGCATATTATCTGGTCCAAGATAGTTTGAGTCAAATCTGTGATAACATTATTCAACAGTGTGATTTGAGAGGCCACAAAGCTAGCATGAAGGTCTGTTTTCTTTTTACCTTTCTTTTCTTCCTCTCTTTGTCTTGAAGGAAAGGTGTACTAAGATGGTTGATTGATAGGGTTCTTGGTGCTATTGTTGTGCATTCCAGGACCTTGAGAAGCAAAATTTGTTAAAGGGGCAAATCCATTCATATTAACCACAGACTAAGATGAGATCTCCAACCTTGATTCCAGACTAAGTAAGATGGCATAGACTTCATTGAGAGAATAAAGCTCAATCCTTGGGGTCACTGCAGCCACTGCAACATTTTAATCATCTCCTAGTCTTTAAAAAATATGAAGAATGTAGTTTTGCTCACTCAATGGTTCACCAGCTGTTCCCAATGGCATCGCAACAGCCCTTCACTTGAGCAACAAAGTCTCACATGGACAAGCCAACCTTTTTAATGGTTTGGAGCTGAAGTTTGAACTGCATGAGTCTAGACTTAGACTAGCCCGAGAAGTTGGATTCAAGAGCCTAATAGATCTCTTGAGAAGTTTTCTTTCCAGCCATCATGGCAAGGAGGTTTTCAGAGAGAACAGTAGCCAAGATGAGAATAGCTGGTCTTGACTCATCCAAATTACATTCTCAGAATTTACTGAGATCTGGGTCATGCCCTTGTAACAATGGTTTAAGGAGGTTTCATATTGAGATGAAGTCTTCAAGGCCATACCCTCTAACTATGGTCAGAACTTTCTGTTACCATAAGAGGTGTATTGACTCAATTATTTCAGAGAACCCAGTTCTAGGTATTTGAGAGTTGACATTAAATCGACAAACTCCAGATAAGTTGGAACCTACATTGCACACTCGAGCTGTCCAAAAATTAAAAGGAAGTTTTTTATTTTTATTTTATTTCCTTAAATTCATTTGTCTTAAACTTATTATTTTATTTAACATAAGAGGAATGGAATTCGACCTTCCTTGGAGCAGCCGTGCTTGATTAAGAGGGAGTGTTCTACTTACCATGCATAGGAATTGAGCGTGTTGAAATTTTTTTTTATATATGGCAGCAGAATATTCGAGTCCAACTTACTATCTAGAAGATGACTTGCGAGGGAGAAAAGATATCAAGAGGAGCAGGAACGCGAAAATTGTGGAGTTTGACAAAATCAAGAGAACTTAGAATAATGTGTTGAGATAAAGGTTTCTAAATTCAACGGGAAGACATAGTATCTTTTGGATTTTTTTTTTTTTTTTTTTTTGTGAGGTGAAATGCCGAGAGTATAGAACGAAGAGTGAATTACTCGAGGAATATTTTTACTTTAAATTGTGTTGATTGAGAGGTGAAGAAAGGTTGTTCTCGATCTCAGTGAGCGTGCAAACGTATGTACTCTAATTATTTGCTTAAGTGTTCGAAGGGAACACTTTGAACGAACTCGAGGGATTTGAGTTGTAAAATTCACAAGGGATTTGTGGTTGTAAGAATAGTGTAGTGAGTGATTACAGAAAATGTAGTAAAGAAGAAGTCTTCATTGTAAATTCGATTTGTAATGAGTAAACATTCACGTATATGAAAAAGTTCCAGAGGGGGAGTGAGATGCTCCGCTGAAGGTTCATGTTTTGTAGATCATTGCTTCTGCAATTGTGTGAACTTACGTCTGAGTTTACTGGTTATTAAACCTAGCATAATTTTGGTATATCCCCACAATTTCTCCAGCTCATGATAGAGCTGAATAAGGTTGGTTTGTGAGTTGGAAAGGCTTCAAGGAGAGCCTGTGTGGCTAGTGGATGATTCTTCCATTATGACATCGAAAAAGGAGCCAGAAGATGAGGCTCATTAATGCAGCTAAATAGGGAAAGGGGGGAGGTACAAGAGACAGGTTAAAAATTTGCTCTGATACCATGTTGGAAGATTAAAGTAACAACCAAACACAATAATAATAAATAGAGGATGAACGTGATCAAATGAAGATGCATTTCATTAATAGTGAATACTGCAGGTGTGTTCGAGCATATAAATAGATGCATGAAAGCCATAAGGCTAGAAAACTCTAAATTCTAACCCAATGAACAAGGGCCATGCAATGATTCAGGCTGAGGATAAACACGAGCTGGTATAGGTGAGCTGGAAAAGGACAATGTACTGAGCAAGGTTATGCACTAATGAGACTAATGAACTCAATGAATGATTAGTTCTATCAGAGACAAAAACGAAAGTCATTCCAACATAAAATATAATTTATATCTGGAAAATAATTCTCACAACGATGTCTTCGGGGTAAAAATTAAAAGAACATCCTGCTCGAGTATCAACTTAAGCGAAAGGAACTAGGCGATGACAAACATTAAATTCATTTCTCAACTCCCATTTGCTTCTATCGAATTTCATGCTAAAATATATATTTTTTTCTTACAATGCCAAATCACCGTATAATATTATATACATAAACAATACACTGATATATATGTCATGTGCCACATAATGATTGTCACACAACACAAATTTCTTATGTGGTTGCAGTCATATTTGAGAAGGTAGATGCAAAATATCTGGAACTAAAGGGCTTCTCATCAAATCCAAGATTGAATTGGGTAGTTACATTTGAAGGAATTTACTCCACTTATGTGTGCAAAGATATCTGCAGAGTCCAAATCATCTTCTTCTTTCACAACCACCTAAGCAAAATAAATAAATCACTAATCACATAATTTGATTACAAACTAATAGAAATATATATGGACTTATATATATATATATATTATTAAACGATAATATATATGTATATATATACCTTTCTTTGGTGATCCTGGATTGAATTGGAGAACAAGCATTGTCCATCTTCATCGACATCGTCTTCGAGGTTACTGCCGGTTGTTCTTGCAAGTTCTCCAAGTTCGTCGTTTTTTGCAAACCTTCCTCTGACTCTAGGCCTACTGTCTGCAAGCGTTTTCCGGCACGCATACTGCACATAAAAAGTTACATATATATACCTTTAAGCATTTTTTAAAAAATTGTGAATATTTATATTGCTGGATCAAAATGTGATGGGACTCGGTTTCATTTACTTTAGCTGTACTACTATTTGTATAGAAATAAACATGTATCAAAATGTGATGGGACTCGGTTTCATTTACTTTAGCTGTACTACTATTTGTATAGAAATAAACATGTATCAAACAATTACAATGAGAGAGAGAGAGAGAGAGAGAGAAAGGACCTTGATTTTCTTACTAAAGTTCCTTTCATTTCTTTTCTTCAAATATCTGTGGATCTTCCTTTTCCTCTCCTCTACGGAGAGTTTTCCGACCTTGAACGTTGGATCATCCAAACTCGAAATCTCCGAAGCTAGTGGATTTGTACTACTTCCTCCATGCATCAGATGCTGACTTTCATTCCCAAGTGCCTACATCAGTCAAACATAAAAGAGTTAAGAACCAAGATGATACAAAGAAAATAAAATTCGAAGATACTTTGAATTTGAAGTATAACTTGTAATTAATATTTCTTTTGTTGACCAGAAAGTTGAATAAAATCTTATTGTGATGAATGATAGGAGGATAATCATTTTGCCAACCAACCAGTCCATTGGCATTTGTGTAGCAGAAAAAAAATAATAATGTACCTGGAGTTGTGTTGAGCAATTGAAAACTCTGGGAATGTTATCAGGAAGAAAAAAGGATGCATTATCAGCTTGAAAATCCAAGTGATCCTGATGAGAAAGCTCATTCCCAAGCAGCAAGCCAGTGTTTGGTGTGAATGTTTGAGGTGAAAATGAAGTGCTTATGGTGGGTGGGGGCAAAAAAGGGGGCATCAATTGGTCAATGAGAGGTTGGGAAGGCCTGAGGCGGAGGTATGATTCCAAGCACTCGTCTTCATAAGGGAGTAGAGGAGGAGGGGGTGGCGGTGGGTACTGGGGCAGCGGAGGCCCGTTTATTATGTGCTGGTTGTTTGTTGATGGGATATTATTGTTCAAGGCTTCTTGATTATTATTGTTGTTGTTGCTATTACTATTGTAATACTGTTGATGATGATGTGGTGCCGAGAAAGATGGGGAAGGGGTGAAGTCTATGGATGCTGAGATGTCGTTATCTAATTGATCGTCCGTTGCATCGTCGAAGATAATGGAGAAGTTGGTGATAGCCCGAGGCTCGGGAGTTTTCATCTCATTGTTGTTCATTTGGTCTGAAGGGTACGTGGGTCTCTCTTCATAGCAACAATTGTTATTGGAAGTCGATGGAACATCCGAATTTTGGAATAATTCGGACTCGCACAGCTCCAACAACTGAGCTCCGAAAGGGCTCGTAATCTCATCCTACGAAAAAAAAAAGACAAAAATAAAATAACAAAAAATAAAAAATAATGAAGAAAGTGAAATGCTATGTCAAATCGAAAGTTAGAACACATTTATAAGCATATTGTCTCTTTACAACTTTTTCGCTCCATCAAACCTTTGAGTAGTGCATTAGTTATTTTATATTTGTACATGTATGTATCTTAATTCGGATCATAACAATTAAATTCGGATCATAACAATTATTTGTACAGATAACATATAAAGCGCAGCTTTGACTGTAAGACGCTTCACCCATGCCAATAGGTCATGAGTTCGAGTCATCGAGTAGGGAAAGTGAGAACACTATTGATCATTTTTTTTACAAGAAAAAAAAAAGCAATTATTTGTACATGCAATGAGCGTAAAAGTTAATGATAAAATTGATAGCTTAGCAAGAAAACTAAATCAAATGAAAATGTAAATTGCTTTGTTTTCTTTTTTTTTTCTTTATCAAGAAAACTTGGACAAGAATAAAATGATTTATATTTTTGGACAAACATTGAGAACTTATAAAAGGCTATCACATCCTACGTGAGGGGTGGTGTTATCAATTTGTACGTATGTTATTGTACAAACTGAATAAAGGAATCGAGATTGCAAAAACTTGAAAAATAAGCTTGCGAAAGGTAATTCTATCCATTTGAGTATAATCTTATAACTTGGTACATAGATATTTTACCGATTGTGATGGTGATGTGGCCTTAGGCATTTATGCATATCAACAAAATTAAAGTTGCCAATTAATAATATCTTCAATTAATGAATTACAAGATGAGGCGAGGCACAAATGAGCGGAAAATTAATCGAAAATGAATAATATTTATTTATTTATTTTTTTGAAATATATATGATACAGAATTAATCAGCATGCATGATGATCTAAGCGACATTCCTTCAAGATTTATCAGGTCGATCTCAGCAACAAATGAATCATGCATGGTTGGTCGACAAATAAATAATCGTAAAATTGAGGGGTCCAAAGGTAATTACTATGGTCAGCTGTTGATGATCTTGAGATTGAACCATGTCCGGCAGCATATTGTGCTTCCTCCTTCAACTCAAAAGGAAAGAAAATGAAAGCAAAACTG